GTTTACCTTCATTCATAGCCATCTGGTAGTGGTCATTTGTGTTTCAAATTTGGTAGTATTAATGTTCAATGTTCACAATGATGTCAAGGAATCAAAAGTAATAACATGCATTTAATGGGAAGAAAATGAACATGTGAAACAGATTCAAGGATGAATGAAAAACATTATCACTCATTTGCAGTATTTAATTACTTTTCTATGTTAATTGTAGAAGTATATACAACCTAGCTTTTCATTTGGCAAAGAAAACATGAGTGTACTTTGCCAAAATGTAATTTTAAAATAATGATTAACACTCGTTTTATTCCCAAATTGCCTAAATGCTTTTTTATTTCTCCACTAATATATTTACTGTGTTTCTACATAACATCTTTTTTATATCATTTTAAATACACAGAAATGTATGGGATGTTCCATCTTCAAAGTGTTATATGATCTCTCTTTTTTAATCTTGTGAGACACATCACCAAGGAAATGATTTGTGGCCCCGTTTCAGTAACCTTGGACATGTCTCTATCTTGCAAGTTATTGATAAGAAGAGATTCTGCTTTTGCAACCTGAGATTTGAAAAACACCATCATCTGAAAACCCCCAAAATATAGTTTTTTGAAAGATGTAATTATTCCAAGGATGAAAAAAGACAAACATTTTTCATCAGTTCATTTTTGCTATAGTCCCATGTTGGTAAAAGGTATTAATAATAATTGTTGAAGGTAAATTATCCTCTCAAGGACTGGAGATAAATGTTTGATTGGTGAGACTTGTCCTAGATAGTAAATTACTACTGTGTCTAGAGGAAATCACACAGCTTGTTTTTTTCCTTTTATTTTCTATTTTTAATATACTGGTTGGAGGGTGTAAGTCAATTCAAAACAACATTTATTGCACATCTACAATGTGCCGGGCACTGTTTAGTGTTCAGAATATAAAGGTGGATACCATGTGGACCCTGCTGTCAAGAATCCCCATGTCAGAGAAAATCCAGCAGTGTGGTTGTGCTACACCAAGAGCTTCCCCACGAAGCAGGGCTGATAGAAGATGTGCAGTTGAGTGTTAGTACAAATGATCTTAAGTAAATGCTATCGGCCAGTTGCTTGCTTATTTCTCTGATCTCTATTTTAAAAAATATTCTATTTTAAAAAATTATGTGTGTAAAAACTGGGGGAGTATGTATGCATGAATGTGATTGCTGATGGAGGCCTGAAGAAGGCATCAGGTCCCTTGGAGCCGGAGTTACAGGTGGTTGTGAGCTGCCTAATGTGGGTGCTGGGAGCTGAACTTGAGTCCTCTGCAGGAGCAGTAGGCACTCTTAACTGCTAAGCCATCTCTCCAGCTCTGATTTCTCTGCTCTCATTATGAGCATTTGATTACTTAGCAGGGAGACCTTAGCTTAGAATTCTTTCATTATAGACACACAGAGTTTATCACCTGTCACAATGCAGTTAAATACAGATTTTCTCTTCTTTTACCTTCAGATTGAAATAGTTGCTACATTCTTTATGTTCATTTTAATTTAGCCCTTTGTATATCCATTCATCATAGCTTAAGAACCTTTCTTTAGGATTATATATTTTTTGACATATAAACACTTCTCTGTTAATGAACATCTCTTAGAGAATATGGCCCAGCTAATCATCAAATTCACCCATTCTTGGAAAAGTCCACAGATTTACAGAAATAATCATCTTCCTGGTCTTCAATGTCTAAACAAAAATGTTGACACATCATAGTTGTGGGCATTTCTATTTATTCTCAGATGATATTATTTGAGAGTATTATCAGTGGTCTTTGGATAAAGACATAATCTGACTCTAATTGACAAGTTTCAATAAAGTCAAACCATGACACTAATATAAAAAATGAGCCTCTACTATGTAGAAAGTGCCTTACATAGTAGTAATAGTTACGTTGGAATTCTAGTGTAGTTTATCCATCCATCCACCTATCTATCCATCCATTCATTAATAATCTGCTGGGCATTTACTAGGTACTGGGAATTATTCTTAGAAGTAAGTTTAGAACTAAGTTTCTTTTCCCAAAGAAACTTCCTCTCTGGTCAATATTTCATTTCTTTGTTCTTTCTCATGAATTTCAAGGTCTCCAAAGTTGCAAAAAAGTTTAGTCACATGAATGTTTCTCAGCAGTTTGTTTATGTCCTTTCCATAGGGACTTTATCTTACATAAATTTAAACTGTGAATTGTTTCATTAAGAAGAAGGTGTTCTAATACTTATGCTCAGGTCTATTTTGAGATCTGTCAAGATTCTTCAGAGTGCTTCCACATGGTATGAATATTATTCTCAGATAGGCATTATCTTTCTAACCTCAAAGATAGCTCTGACTTATACTAACTTAAATATACCCAAGAATAAAAGAACAAATCACTCATTTGAGGTTGAATGTAGGGAACAGGTGCTTTCAACAATTCTTTGTAATAAAATGAACACATTCCTTTTGTTTAAACATTATCTGCACAATGAAATCACCCTGTCTCCTTTCCCTCTTCCTCTGTCCCTCAATCCCTTTTTCCGACACACACATCCTGAATGATCTTTTCCTACAAAAGAACTATGAACTGAAAAGATAATTTTGAAACTACTAATCTTAGAAAACAGATGTACCATTTTGTGCCTGTGCATGTGCATGCGTGCGAGCATGTGTGTGTGTGTGTGTGTGTGTGTGTGTGTGTGTGTATGTAAAGAACCTGTGAAATAGAGTAAAGACTGAGTTGCATGAGTGCACAGCAGCTCTCTCTCTCTCTCTCTCTCTCTCTCTCTCTCTCTCTGTGGGTGTGTGTAAAGAGCCTGTGAAATAAAGACTGAATTGCACACAGCAGCTGGCATAGAAACATTCATGGAAGTAAACCCAAACTACACATATTTTGATGTCATGGACTGAAATAACATAACTACTTTTCACACTCTGTGATTAAAAAAAAAAGGATAGCCTCTGTTTCAACCCTGATATAACAGATGCTGTCCTGTGACAGCTACTTGTTTGTGATTGGGAATCTGGCTCTGCTGTGGTCGCCCTTCAATTGCTGTAATATTCAATGCTTTTCCTTATATGTTTGCAAATAGAGCAACAGCTATCTTTTAAAAAATGTGCAGCAAAGAGTATACATTTTTAATGTGAATAAATCTTATTTTCTTCAGGAAATGTCACCATCAGGACAAAAATCAGACTTTTAGCAACTTTTCTTCAGCTGAAACAAAATAAGTGCCTATAAATTTATGACATGTTGAAATCGTGAGTGGCATTTGGTGCTGTCTACACCAAATAAGCCCCATGCTCCCCTCAAAGCTATGGAGCTTTATCCTTTCTTTTTCTAGGACTAGAATGTGAATCACACAAATAATATCTTTCTGCATTTTCTGATTTTATCATAAAAAGTTAATACTTAGAGTATCTGAGAAGCCCATCATGATTCTAAGGAGTGACAAGAAATTTAATATGAGTTTTGACTGTCACATTAAAAATCTAGATTCTAAATATCAAATACTTTGAAGAGATAATACTGCCTATATAGATATACTGTCTGTCAAAACCTTAGTATATGTCTTAATTAAAACTGAAATAAAACTCATGAATGATTCTCCTAGACTATCATTATTTCTCTTTCCTGCAATAAAAAAAAAACCAGTGAAAACTAACAGAGAACTCCCTACAAAGTACCACAAAGAGAATAAATCTCACCCACCTTGAAAATGCACAACCTAGAAATTTTACTTCTATTTTTTATATTTATATTCTTTTGTCATTAAATGCTATCCATCAATGAAGAGAGTTACTTTGGTGCACAAACAAGAATGTTTCAACAGCACTGAACACCAATGCTATTTGCAATATAGATGAGAATTTATAGATTAGGAAAACTGATGATTCTGTGCAGAAAAGCAAGCCCAAAGGCAGCAAGATGGAGAAGTACTAACAATGATCTCAGCAGTCATGAAAGATGTTAGGTGAGTATTTTAACTCGATTGTGTGGTTGAAGGCATGAAGAAAACCTTGTAAACATATGCAGACTTTGCCTTGGGTTTGAGTAGAGGAGGAAGAGGGGAGGGCATAGCACAGTGAGCTAGATTATGAAAAGTTGCAGGCATGTGTATGCAAATGTGTAGGTCAGAGGACAAGTTGTGGGAGTTGGTTTTCTCCTTCTACTAGGTGGGTTTCAGAAATCAATTGAACTTATGTTGTGAGGCTTGGCTGCAAGCACATTAACTCCCTGAACCATCTCACTGGCCCTCTGATCTAGACTTTAAATATTTTATTTATTATTTTATTTTTTTGTGTTTGAGTGTGTTGCCTGCATGTATGTAAATCCACTTGTGTCAAACAATACCCATGGAGGTCAGAAGAGGGAGTTGGATCTCCTGGAACTGGAGTTACAGACTGTTGTTAACTGCCATGTGGGTGCTACAAATTGAACTTGGGTCCTCTGCAAGAACAGCCAGTGCTGAGCCATCTCTCCAGCTCCTGATCTGGATTATAAATGGCAGTATGCCATTTGAAATGTGCTTCCTTGATCATAAGTGCAACAAAGATATATTTGATGTCCACTGAGGCAATGAAGAAGACAATTCAACAAGAATTTTTGATTCCACATTATACATTCTGCATAGATGTTTAGGAAAATGCAGTGTGAATAGAATGTGGTCCCTGGTTTCCGAACATTTTACTATAAGCTCGTCCCAGTCATGACTTGACGGCTGGTCATAACAGTTCCAAAACCATGGTCACACAGACAGCTGAGGTTAAACATGGTGGTCACAGAATAAAACAAAAGACATGGATGTGAGAAAGAGACTTATTGGGAAGAAGAGGATTGACATTGGTGGAGGAGAGATAGAAGGTGGGAGGGTCAAGTCACCAGAATGCATTGTACACATGAATGAAATTGTCAAAGAACAAATTTAATAAAAAAGAAAGAAAAGAACCCAAATGCCAAACAGGAAAAAGTCCATGTGACAGTTACAATTTTTATATTTATAGGCAGTAAAATTCTCTTTTCCATGCATAACATATACGCATGCATGTTCTGTAGAACAAAGCATAGGAGGAGTAAGATAATGCCTGGTTTCAGCGCCTCAGAAGACTATGTTTTGCTTTGGTTTTAAGTGCATTCATGTGTAATTAACTAAAGAGGCTTCTTTACTCAGATAAAACCTGGTTTAGCTGTTTAAAACAGAAGTACTTCAAAAAAAGGGGAAAATTCACAAGATGAAGAGGGGCCCTAACTGGGTTGGGATTATGGATTCATTTTTCTCATTTGTGTTTTTCTGTATTCTCCAAAAGGTTTCCTGGAACATGTGCCATTCTTATAGCCAGCCATAAAGGATTCAAACACATGCATACTGGTAAGCTATTTAATTTCCCCAGGAAAATAAAAATGACCCATAAATTATATCACTTATTTTGATGCAGAATTTCTTATTGCTATACAAGGCCAAAGAAAAGTAATAAGTTTTATTTATTTTTAAAAATCGTCAATGGGGGCCAGAGAGATGGCTCAGTGGTTAGGAATACTGACTGTTCCCAGCACCCACATGGTGACTAACAACCAACTATAATTCCAGTTCCAGGGTATCTGATGCCGTCTTCTGACCTCTGTGGCCATTGCACGACATGGGTACACATATATATATATACATGCAGGCAAAACACCCATACACATAAAATAAAAATAATAAAATAAGAAGCTTCAATAGTCAAATGTATGTGTGCTTCTGTGTGCAAGTTTGAGTGTGTGAATGTATGTGTATATATGTGTGTGTGTGTGAGTGCATACATATACATGCAACTGTATCTTGTGTGCCTCTGTGTATGTGCACAAGCCCATGTATATACGTGTATTCTTTCAGATTGCATGGCATATGGACAAGTTCTGGATGATGATGAAATAGCAATGACACTTTTTTGAATACTTGGTTGGTGGAGACAGTGTAGTGAACCAATGAGTTACGCAGTAGGATTTCAGTAAGACCATTCATGGGACAAAGAATTAGAGTAGCAACAAATTTGTGAATTTTCTTCAAATTGATAACAACCAAAAAATGAAGGTGAGATTGAAGTAGTCACAGCTTTCAGTGGGAAATTCCCTAACTGTAACTTACAATCTTCACCCAAATGATCAAGACACCAGATAGAGAATTTCTGATTTTGTTCTTTCATGTACTAAGCTGATTTAATATCTTTTGCCTTGGTTAGTAAGTCCACACTCTCCAATGACAACTGAGCCATAATGAATAAGATCACTGTCAAACAACCATTTTGTCAGCTAACATGTTTGGGATAGGTAGTGACCTGCCTCTGCTTGAACTTTCCTCTTAATTACATGTGATTGGATCTGTTTGTTCACAATATTTGAGTTTTAAAAATAATCGATGGGTTTATAACTTAATTTTTCCATTCACAGCATTCACTGGCAGATATGACAAAGGTTATTGTCCATGAAAACAAAAACTGAAGTGAGAACTGTTCCAATAGCTCAAACCTACTCTGCCAAACTGGAGTGCCCCACTGCCACAGTGACCTGGAAGACAAAAACTGGTTTGTGGAGTTCTCTGAACATTGTTGAAAGCGCTTTGGGCATAGAATTTCTATTCCAGCTGTGCCACTCAATCCTTAATTCCTTTTCAACTTTAGTTTTCTCACCTGTAAAATAGGGACATTATAATTATTAACCACATTTATGAAGATGAAACGAGCCATTGCCGGTGCATGCTTAGAATGATCCTTTGCACACAGTAAATGGAAGGTAGACAGTAGTTTCACAATTGTTACTTTTCATAACAATTTACTGTTGGTTCCAATTCAAAACATACTGTCAATATTGCATGTGTATTTCGGTTATGGAAGTCCCCAGTGACAAACACAAACTAGTTCAGTGTTTCTTGAGAGAATTCATATTTACTAATTCCAATTAAAACTGATGCGAACTGAGGTAGTGTAACATGCTAATGAACACAGGAACTGTGATCCTTGAAGCACTGCATCTTGTATTATGTAAATGCTATTCAGATGAGTCTTAGTCAAGCCATCCTACTGCACTGGCTTCTGATTCTGTCTTTTATTTCCTTCATTCCCTCAAGCAAGATATTACAAAGTATAAAAGATTATTACAATTTCAAACACAACTCGATAATGGAAAATAAAAATATAAACAAGATCACTGAAAGATAGAAGTTTTCTGATAATAGTATACTAAATCAAATTATCAATTCTCCTTTATATTTTCCTGGGATTGGAGAAGGTCAAATAAAAATAAACGTATTTACAGAAAAACCATATATAGTACTTATTACTTGTTAGTCAATGTGGACCTCAATTGGAAAATGTCATCATTAAGCAGCATTATCCCAGGAAACTGCACTTGGTGGAGTAATGGACATGGCCCAGCAGACTCCTTGATAGTTAGCAGAGGCATTTTTTTTCCCAGGATGTTCTCAGAGGAGATAAAGCTTCATTGCACCCCAGTATTAGCCTACTCTGGCCAGTATAAAGTAGGAAGAGGCTGTGACCTGAGTGCAGGATATGCTTGCTACTGATGAGGGTCATGAAAAAAGGTCGACGTGGAACAATTTACTGCAAATGAGTGGAAGACTCTGCCATCATAGGATGAATTTCAGCTCCCACGGTGCAGGCAAGTCTCAAATAAGGATTTGCACTTTATCTGCAAGATAGTTGGCAGATGATGGAGAAGCAGGGGAATCACAAAGCAGATGAAAAGATACGTGTTCAGCTTCATTTGACTCACTGGTTCCCAATTCCCAGGGAGGAGCAAGCGACTGGGTATAACACAATAAACACCCGAGTTCAATCCTGTGCGTTATTTGTAGTTCATGATTCATTTTGTGCATAAGATTCAAGTCACAATATAAACTCAGCCTCAGCCAATCCATCTGGTTTGCTGCTTTCCTGATTTGATCGCAGTTTATTTCTACTACTTCAGGTTTATCTCTCACACAGTCACTTTCTACCTCTCCAGTCATTGTAAGCTGTATGCATTGCCCCTCATGCAGCTCATGCATCGTGCTGTAACGTTTAGATTTCCCTCCTCTCTTATCTTCTCCTTCCACTCCTCTGCCCTCCCCTCCCCTCTCCTCTCTTCACTCCCCCCCTTTCCTTTTCCCTCCCCTCCTCTTTCCTCTCCCCTCCTCTTTTCTCCTCCCCCTTTCTCTCATCTTCTTTTTTCCTTTGCTCAGCTAACTCATACTATATCTTCAAAGGTTAGCCCCGCCACCATTTCCTGGAAGGTGTCTACCTGTACCTCAGTTTCTCCATCATCCCATTCTTTAGCACACAGTTCTCTGATTTCTGCCCCAAATGGAGATCTGTTTAAAAGCAAAGAATGTGTCATTCATCTCTGTAGCTCCCTATATCCCCTAACACTGTGCACTGGGCACCTGTTAGGTGATTAGCACATGAGAGCTGCTGCCGTCCCTACTGCCACTGTTACTGTTATTACGGATGGTGCTAAGTGGCTAAGTGAGCCACAAGCAGTACACTTTCTCAGTTATTCCCCCGATGTAATGGAACTCAAGTAGGGTTAAACTTAGGGTTAAATCTTCCAGGGCAGGACCTAGGGTAGGATATGGCAGGTAGAATTTAGAGTGTTTTGTAAGTATTGAGACAATAGGAAATATCACAGGCCCAGACACTCTGAGATGCAAAGATAAAACACAGAGGCTTGGCCATCTGGAAAGGAGGGCTATAGGGTGGTTAGTAAATTCCATATAGACAGAGAAATATGTACAGATAGAGCAAATTGTCTATGATTGGATCTGAAGAATACCTCCCAAATATGGAAAGGGGGATTTAAAAAAATTATATAGTTTTACTTGGAATTATTATTTGTTATTTATATGTGTACATATGTGTGCAGGCCTGCATTTGCTGTTGCACTGAGCATTGTGTGAAGGTCAGAGGACAACTTGTGTGCATCTCTTCCCTCCTTCCAGGTAGGTTCCAGAAATTGAACTCAGGTCATGAGACTTTGCTGAATCATCTCACTGGTCCCCAGATTATAAATTTTAAATGGGAAGTGTTTCTCAGCGAGCACCTCAGCAGCATCATTGTCACATACAAACTTGTTAGAAAACAATTTTAGCCCATCTTATGCTCATTAAATAAAAATGTGTTGTGGCTTCTGGCTCTTCCCAATCAGGCTTTAAGCTCTCCAGAACTCTTTTCATTTGGGGGAGGGCTGAATTTTTTTCTAACCATGGCTAAGAAAGTCTTTCTTTGTTGCAAACTCCCCTACTGAGGGCTCTCCCACACTTTGCCTCTCTGAGCCTCACTTATCTCTCTATTCCCACTGCTCATGTTGGCACTTGTCATCACACTCACAGCCTGAGCATTTTTTGCCCGTCTTCTGCATCTTCTGTCGATGTCTAGCTGATGGACACCAGGCTCCTTCCACAGTGCTCAGCTTCAGTGGTCACCGCTCTACTGACTTGTGTTTCTAGGCATTGTCTTTTTCCCAAACAAGACTTATGTCTTCAATTGCAAAAGAGCATCTCCTAGACATCCTGTAGATACCTTAAAGTCCTCCATCTCCATCTGATCCTCCCTCAACTAGTCTGAAGTGGAACACAGTATTCCTACTTATCAACTCTGTGGTTTAAGCCAGAGAGTGAGGAGTTTTTAATGATGTTCCCTTTTCCCTAAATTCAATTAGTTGTTAAGTCTTAGTAATGTGCTTTCCTTAGACTTCTCAAATGTCTATACCTCTTATCACTATCTTCACCAGCCCAAGATGGCCACTGTAATCTCTTATGTTTAATCTGCCTATCTTCCAGATTTTCTGTTTGGTAGACTTGGCCTTTGCCTAACTTCTATCATTCAGGTGATCGTTATGAAACACAGTCTCAAGTGTCTTCCCTTGTGAGACGTCTTTACCACTGCCCATGCTACATCATTCATGTAGAAAAAGAACTACTTCCTGAGCAGGTCAGTCAAGGTCTTCGCTGTCCAGTCCATGTCCATTCACCCACTTTGGGCTCTTCTCACCATTCGCTTGAATTGTGCTCTCTAACTGCTTGCAGCTCCCCCAGAGACTCCATTTTCCAACCCAGTGGTTCACAGCATTTGGTCTAGTTGTTAGGGCCAAGCTAGGCATGACAAGGATGTGGAACAGAAAAAAAAATTCTAAATGTATTAAAATTAAAGATTGTCATTTTTTCCTAGGATTATTTGCTTTTCTATAGCTTTCGTGTAAAACATTTTTTCCCTAAAAATAGCAAAACCAATCACTTATTTTTTGAAATGGCCTTATTTGGTGATCTCGAATCCATTTCCTGAGTATATTTCAAGTTAGACATTCACGCATGAAAACCAGTAGCACCTGCATGTTTAAAGATATTGTTCATCTGCCTGAAAAATTTTTAACTTTTGTGGCTAGCTAACTTGTAACATTTCAGTACTCAACATAAATTTGATAAATTTTTATTAAGGTAAAAAACCCCAAATAACAGTGGTCTGTGTTTACACTAAAGTTTGATTTAATGGGTGATATACTAGCCATGTGAGTTTGTCTCCAGGGTTACATAGTCAAACTATGGAGGGTAGATGGACCTCGACTCTTCAACCTTCCCTTTTCCTGTATGTTCTAACACTTTCCTGAAGATTCTGTTCTCAATACATGGTTACTGAATTAAACTGAAGAAAAGGCATGAAGAGAGCACAAAATTAAGACTGAAAAATGAAGATAATAAAAGCAAGCTACGTGAAGAAAGTCACTTCAGCCAAAAGGCCCTGGACAATTATTTAAAGTAAGTACACTATCTTCAGGGACTCTTTCAAATGCACATATTTAATTATCTAATGTGTAAGTCAAATCTCAGATATAATTAATTCAGTGTCTTAACTTTTTTTTTTGTATATTCCTAGTGTTCACTAGATGAGGCTCATCTGTAACACAGCTCTTGGTAGTCTGTTAGAAATATTTGTGTCTGTGAACGTTAAGAAGAAAGATGAGATTCCATGGGTGTCCTGCCTGCAACAAGGGCAGTCTGGGCTTTTGCTGGGTACGTACAATGTCAGTGCGTTCCAAAGGAAGTTTGCAGCCTCAGACCCACGTTTCTTATTTCTAAGGGAAACACTGCTAGATTTTATGGGAGGCAGCTGTTATTTGGAAGGTCACATGTGTATGAGTGCCAATGTTTCTATTTGGAATTGGTGACAAGGAGAAACAGTGATTTCAGACTTTGACGCTGGTGTTTAATTGCTAACCTAAACCATGGATTAAAGCCATTGCTTATGATTTCGAAAGAGCAGATTATTTTTCTTTAGAATGAAAGTAAGAGCCACACAAGCAGCCTAGGCTTTTAGGAGAAACCAAGTGAAGAAGAAAGGCAGGAATGGCCTCCAGTGGAAACCCAGGAGTCTGCCTAGATAAACACTCCGATACTCTGAGAATGAATTCTCTACAGATACCTTAGAAGAAAATGTCATACTTAGGTCTTTGCTAAGGTGATGAATACGCTTTTTCTCTGAGGGTTATTTAACACTTTCCATAATTTTATTATAAATAGTCCAGTAAAATGCAACAGTAAGTTATATGCTGTATTAGGGGGACAACTCATTTATGAGTAATGTGGCAATTTGTAAAACTAATGGGCATGTTTATGAGCATAAAGGGTTCTAAAGAATAAATGAAATACTTAAACAGGAAAAACAGAGGCAGTCAGTATGAAGGGGTGCATGCTTCTGGGAGATCAAAATGTCAAGACAGTTGCCAAACTGGGGAAAGGAAAGGAAGGCTTTCTTAGGTTCTATCCAGCCAGAAAGACAGAACAGCCCAGTGTGAAGTACTTGGTGTTGAACTTGGAGCCTGGGTCCTGTGTTCTCTTCCAGCACCTTCATTAATTAGATTTTTTTAGGCCTTCATTCTACATTCATGGGATGAAGTAGTCAGAATACCCATGCTTTTAAGATTCTGCCCACTGTTTAAAACTTTTAATTAAATTTAGTAATTTAGCATTCCAAGGTGAGACTACGAATTCAACCCTTTCCAATTTGTCATGGTTTCTATGAACATGAAAGAAATCAGAGATTAGTTTCAGAAATATTAGCTTTTAACCTCTCAAAGCATGTTAACCTTTGCAAACTTCCCAGAGATACACATATTCATGTTGATTTTTGCTGTTTTTCTCTTGGAATGTTGTTTTCAGCAGATATGAATGTCCTAATGACTCGTGTTTTAGTCTAGCTCTCTGGAAGAGAAAGGCTGCTTTTGTGTATTCATCATGTCTACCTGTCTTTGGCAGAAGGCGGATCTGATTTGGGGATGAATATCATACATTTGTTAATGTACACAATGGCTGCATTTACGGGTGGAATCTGGGTTCCTGTTTGTGACAGAGGTTCTGTTATCAGTACTCCATGAAACACTTCTTGTGCTTTGAATGAATTTAACATTCAGCAGAGCCCAAACAGCCTGCTTTGTTCTTTTAGGTACACTAAATTCACTTTCCCAGCTTCTTCCCCACTTCAGATTTTATATTCATGGAGGACACACCACACACACACACACACACACACACACACACACACACACACACACAGAGAGAGAGAGAGAGAGAGAGAGAGAGAGAGAAAGAAGGGATGTTGTTTAAACACTTACTTGACCTATGCTGTTTTCTTTTTAAGTTAAAGAAAACTTTCTACTGTCATATTTTGTAGGTATATGAAAACTATGTACCCTATTTGTTGTGATTTTTATTTTGGGCTTTTATTTTTGAAGTGTCATTTTTAAAAGACATAATATTTGTCTGTAATTTTGAGGTGGGTGCAGGGTCTCCCTGTAGCCCCAGCTGACCTGGAACTCGCTATGTAGACCAGGCTGGCCTTCATCTTACAGAGATGCTCCCTGTGTCTGCTTCCCCAGTGCTGGGATTAAAGGCATGCATCATCACACTTGGCTCCTGTGATTATTTTTACAATATGCTATTCCATACTGCATTTTTAAAAGTTATACTATTACTAGGACCATGTGTTTTTAAAGTACTTAGATTATTTGTTTATTTACCTGTTCTTTGTTATTCATCGCTAAGTGAGACAAGTTTATAAATATGGAAATCAAGACATGGTCATGGCCATGAAGTCTTTGTTCAATTCTTGTTTTGTTCTTTTGGTTTTTTGTTTGTTTGTTTTTGGTTGGTGCCTGGCCCACAGTAAAGGGTCTACCCTCTGATGAATGGTTGGGGAAGGTGGTTTTTCAGGTCTTACAATGAGAATGACTGATCCATAAGAGCATTATTTCGGAACCTACAATTTTTTTGAAGTTGACAATACCTTTTACAAATTTGGGAACATGGAAATCTGACAAAACATGAGATGATTATTTCTAGAACTTTGTAACTATTCCTTGTTTTTGTTACCATTGTCCTCTAATTTCTCTTACATGACATGCTCAGTGAATTCTAGAACCCACTTTTAGACTGATTTTTAGAAAAATAAATCCTGATGAGGTATTCTGTCTGTGTTATAAGTTTATTGCAATTCAGCATCTGGCACGGTAATAATGATGTGAAAAACTGGGCAGTATCGATGATGTGAGGGACAGATCAAGGGAACACCACAGGTGCTTATATGATGCTTATGTGATACATGGAGGTCTTCCCGGAGGCCATGGCATAGGCTTTGTTGTCTAATTCAGACAATGAGAGGAAGGTCAACTCCAAGTGCTCTGAGATACCAAAGTTCTGGAGACAGAGGGGGTGTTGTAGGCATGGAAGAGCCTTCAGCTCTTTTTCTTTTACAAATAAAGAAAACAAGTCCCAGGCAGAGAAAGTCATCTTTCGTAAGACTGCAGTGCCTCCCATAAAATATCCTGTGAGACCAGAACCATGAGTTCAGAGTCCTAATGATAAGGCTTCACATCTGCAAAGCAAAGCAGTGAAATTAGTGCAAACATTTGCATTCTTTTGGTGCTTTTGCTTGTTTTTCCTTTTGCTGAGGCTATCACATGTGGGTAAGAGTTTCAGGGAATTACAACTAAAATGATCTCTAGCACCGGCATAGAAAAAGCACAGTGGCATGCATACAATTAACCCCAGTACTAGGGTTGGGGGTAGACGCAGGTAGATCCCTGGAGCTCACTGGCCAGCCAGCCTAGTTGAACCTGTGAGTCCAGCTTCAGTGACGGACCCTGTCTCAAAAAATGAGTTGGCAAGTGATCAAGGAAGACATTCA